GTTAAAGGGGTTTTTCAATTAAAGCAATAAATTTGAGTAGAGATTATTTTATTTACAGAGTCGCCACTTGGAATTAATTTTTTTGGGTGTTCCAAGTCACCTTTTATTTGAATCCCTAGTTAAATGAAGGTTTGACTCTATTATTATTGGTCTGCGAAAATAAAGTTCGGGTAAGGAATTTTGTTGACCGGGGAGAAGGTGTAAGGTATTCCACGAGTCTCGTGGTTCTTGCACGGTCGCTTTATTGACTACATTTGGCTTGAATTAATTTTGGATAAACTGTGATTTATTGGTTTTCATGCTTTATCTATCCGCTTTTAATTATTAAAATATGGAATTATCTTTGAAACGAATCACGTGTGTGAATCCGTTTTGTTTATTGCGCCAAAATCATGCTACGCGTATGTGTACACAATTAATAGCATTTTATTATATTAAAATTGTTTTGACCAAAGTTGCGCGAACACATACTTCTGTTTTAATTTTGAAAATTATAATTATGCCACACGAACGTATACATAATCGCGATAAACTAATTAAAAGCGCGCCTAAAGCACTCTAACGATGTTCATTATTCTTCCTAAACTTTGAGATTATTGTGAGGTCATGAATTATGGAATTACTTGTGAAAGAAGTGTATGATTATAGATATTTGAATAAATAAACCATCATATACCAATACCCTATAGCCCAATAATTGAAGCCCAAACTTATTAGGGTCCAAATTTTCCCAACTTTAAAACAAGTTTGAATACCATATTTCGAGAAACATAATTAAGCATATAGCTTTTAAGGACTAATTTACATAATTATTTATAAAGTTTAAAGACAAATAAATAAAATCACATGAAATAAGATTAAAAAAATAGAGGAAAGAATAAACCTTGAATGCAAAATTTCCAATTAAATGAGTTTCCAAGAACAAGTACAATAACTAAGACGAACGTCGAACAAGCATAAGCGAAAAAGAACATCAAAGCTAGTGAACGGAGCTCCAACGGAATTGTCGACCTCGACTATCGACTCCACTGTTTGGCGTGTGAAAAGGAATGTTTTGAAGTATTTTTTTGTTGTGTTTTAGGCGATGAATTACTGGATTTTTTGAAAGAAAGACGAAGAAAGAATGACACAAGTAGAAATTCTTTTAGCGTAGAAGAAGAAAAACAATTTCTCTCAAATTATTTTTACCTTTTAAATTATTTTTAACTCTTACCCTATATATAAAAAAAATATAACAAAGCTAAAAAATATATATTAAATTTCTAAAAATATTTAATAGTAGAAGGTGACAAAAATTCAAATATAGTCAAAAATTAGGTGCTCACAAAAAATAGCCACAATTTCAAAAGTAATCGAAATTTAGCCATTTTTTCACGTAAAGATAAAATATGAACAAAAAACTCTTAAAAATACGGAAATATTCCAGCATAATATGTTTGAGTTCGAAATTTTTACATATGAGCTTTCAGCATAAAATGCTGAAATTTTATAATGTACTGAAATTCCATCCTAATATGCTGGAAGTTTATATGCATGAGCTCCATAATCCCGCATATTATGCTAGAACTTTTCTGCTGGAGTTCCAATATAATATGTTGGAAGTTTATACACAGGAGCTTCACAATCCAGTATATTATGCCAGAATTTTTCGTGTTTCAGTAAAACAACAGCTTTTTTTTCAATAATTTTTCAAACGCTGGCTATTAAACTGGCTAACCCGTGTTATTTTTACACAAAAAAAAAAAAAAAAAAAAAAAAAAAAAAAAAAAAAAAAAAGGAATTGGGTGGGTGGCGAAGAGAGTTTCCAGGAGGTTCCTAACATAAAGTTGCATAAACCCTCATGCGCCATCCATTGTGCTTCCACTTTTTCCCAACAATAGGAACCCTACACAATGATGAAACTATCTGAGTTCATATCTGAGTCACCAACTATTGTGTTTTTGTGTCACTTCTAAATCTCAAAAAGATCATGAAAGTTACCTTCCATTGTAGCACTTTTTGGTACCCAAAAAACGAAACTTATAGATATCATAACTATTTAAAAAAACTACTCCCTCCATTTTAATTTATGTGAATATGTTTGACTGGACACAAACTTTAAGAAAAAATGAAGATTTTTATAATTTGTCTCAAAAAGGGGTCCAGAGTATTTGTATGGTTATAAAAGCTTCCCATTAAGGATAGAATTATAATTTTAAGTTAAATTATTACCAAATTTAGAAAGGGGTCATTTTTTTTTGGAACAGACCAAATAGAAAATAAGTTCACAAAAACTGGAACAAGAGGGAGTAACTTGTATGGGGCAAAAATTCGGACGTACCAGGTGTACAACAGAGATATGAGACGTAGCCGGTGACCTCGACCAATAGATCTGATATAGTGGTAGCCGGTCCCTTGAAGTCACGGTGCCATCTTGAAATGGTTTGGCCCCGGGGATCCCCGCGCCAACTGGAGGCATTCTCATCAACTCTCTGACATCAGAATCAGAGACAAAAAGTGTATAATTCTATTGGGTTGATATCTTAAGCATGTCTTGTTGATTCTTTGTATTTTTTGTCTTAAACTGTTGTACGGTTCACACAATTCAAACTAGCTCACAATCATTTTTGATTCACTTGCCTTTAACCCTTTTTCTTTATCAAAACAACTGTAAAAACATGCAGCAATTTTTCTGGTAAACATAACTATATACCTAATTAACTTGTAATGATTTGGTATATCTCAGCTCCTTGACTTACCGAGGATATCGTCATTCTATAGTTTAGATTGGTACTTTATAATGCCTCATGTATTACATCGATTTCGATCTTTTGTGATGTAATGTGCACAAGTTAAACGAATAAATGAAAGTGCTCACTTTCTAACAGTTTAAATGCATAGGTCCAGGAGTATATGAGAGGTTATATTGAGACATTAACCTTTTGAGTGAGACGATTCACACAATTCATCACGTCTACACACTAACCGTGTGGTAAACTTGGTGCATTCACATAAGACAATAGCCAATCGAATGTAATGAAGAAACGCCTCTACTCTTTGAACCAAGTCTTTCTGATAAGGCATAAGCTAAATCAAGTGGCTCATGAGTGACTAGCCAACGTTTCTGTCTTTTCACTTTCCACCAGTAAATAAATGTAACTATAGCTAAGAGAACTAGAGGAACCTACATTTTGCCAATCTTTACTTCGTTGAAACACAAAGTCCTCAAGTATACGATTAAGATACAAAACGTTCAAGCTTCAACGCGCCTTAACATGAATAATCAAGCATTTATACAGCAAAAACTCTCGGGGATCAGTAACGAGACCAGTTAATCCTGATGCTGCAGCTGTATATGGAGATGCAAGATAAATTTGACCTTTCCTTATGACCTATTCGTCTAGGGAAGTTTCTATTTGTGGTTGAGACACAGACCTGCAAATCAAAATGCTCGTTGAGGTCAAGTTGTTACACATTGCAATATAGTAATGACCTTTCATTTCATTGTTAATAAGAAACTTGAAGAACTAGCCATAAGATGAATGTGCTAATCTTGTAAGGACAAATCGATCAACTAAAGACCACATTATTGACGCAGGTAGGAGTATAATTTAAATTACAATATGAAGTATGCTAAAATGGTATGACAAACATTTACAACTAGACTTCATTGAATAAGGCATTGCGCTTTAAGATAAACTGCAATTCCACTGTATAAACATCGTGGTTCACATTCATTCTTAAGTGCAAGATGGAAATATTGAAGAATATTAGATCTTCATCATTGACCTATGACCACTATCAACTTGTTTCTATAGTAAGTATGAAACTTGCCTGAGGTTCATTCAAGCGTGCACGAGTGTTGATGGCAGGTTATAATCTCATGTTTTAGTCGATTATTACATTTCAATTTACTGCACTTTAGTTGAGTTTGAGCTTTAATCGTTAGTGTTTTGCACTAATTGTGTGTTTTATGCCTTGTAGGAGTGATTCCGAGCTATGTAGATGTTATGGAATGAATTCAAGTGATTTGGAGCTTTGAAGTATGAGTAAAACCCCAAGGAATTAAGCCGGGATCGTGTTCGGGGATCAACAGATGATAGTTAAGAACGAACGAAGAATCGAGTAGGCATATTGCGCAGTGTCTAGTAAGCACCACAGCTAGGACTTGCTGGAAGGGGCGTATCTACGTTGCAAGTTAGGGGTACCACGGCACCCGCTCGCTTCGCTAAAATTTCTACCATGTACATAATATCTCTGTGAAAAAACGTATAAATGGATAGAATGGCACCCAAAAATCACAAATTGGAAGTGGGTGCCATTGGTTTAGCCTTCCCATTGAAGGCTTTTCTTGGCCTCAAGAATGCAAGTTCGATTCCCTGTTGGAGCAGCTCCTTTGATTTTTCCTTTTTTCTACTTATTAAGATTTCTTTTATTTTTAGTTAAACCCTAGGGCCTCATATCTTTTCCTTCTTTTTCGGTTCTTTCCCTCCTTTTATTACTTGTTAAGCCTCTATTCTTCATTTTTTTAACTTTCAGTCCTCATTTTGTTTCTATCATTATACCTTACTTTATAAACAATTATTTTCTATAGTAATTTTAATTGATTTTAATTAGAATATAATTTCTTTATTTTTAATGAAACGATATTAATTTATATATTGGAATATAATTTGAGCAATATCTTCTATTGGGTTTTGAAAAAAAATTAAATGGCTTGATTGATAGTCGTTTTGAGTTGAATATCATAGGTTGAATGTTGAATGTTGAAAGTTTTTCTTTGAAAATAATTGTCATATAACTCAACAATTAAAATGAAAAAATAAACAAAGAAAAATACAAGTAAATTAATCTAGTCAAACAAAGAATATAGTGTAGTTAAGGTACCCTTTAAGCAAATATTTATATTGGAGGCGCTCTTTCATGCAATGTTATTTTTCTTTTGCATTTTTATTTAGAATGTGTTTAAATTAAGCGCTAAAAATTTAAACTAAAATCGAATTTATTTGCTTTGTGAATGAAAGACCTATTCAAATTAACCAAAAACTAACCGAACCGACCCATTATTCCTAATCTGTCTTTGTATCTACTGACATGTATACTGTATGCATAATATGGTGGCACCCGCAACCTTCGAATCCTGGATCCGCCTCTGCTTGCTGGTTTATCACAGCCGGCATCCTCAAAATTCTGTGAACAAGTTTTGTCACCAGATTCTGGAACTGGAAGAGTACATAAATCCATCCACACCTGAAAATATTCCAAAGTTTTGCATCATATGGCACGACACAATAACATTCACGTTGAATAATATGTTAAGAGTACAAACCTTCCGAGTAGCAGGGACAAGGAATGATTGGAACTTTGACCTTCTTTCCCTGCAATGATGCAAAACTCAGTTAGGTAACAGAGCTTTAACAAACAAAAAAATTTCTGAGCAATATGCTAAAAAGAATTGGCCGCCCCTGTAAAACTGGCATTTCCCCTCAAGTTCAGTTCAATTTTTCAGAGATGGTCAGAAAAAGATCACATCCCAAACTTCCACCTAAAATGCATATTCTATAATAATACAAAGGAATATGATGTAGTTGGACAAGTGCAAGAAATGCCTTTGAGAGCCTCGCATCCCAACAGTAAGTCATGCATACAGATATGCATTTTGTAGGATTGAGTTAAATAGGCAGTTAAAGGAATTACAGAAGACAAGTGCAACGTACAGAATGAATAGCTAAGCTCACATTTGAAATTTTGAGAAAGAGATATCATCTTACAGAAGCTAGGAAAAGTTTTGCAGCAGCGCTGAAGTCCTCTGTCTTTGCACCAGTACAATATCCAATATATACTCTTGTCAATCTTAACATCTTTGCATTTTCTTGCCAAAACACGATTATCAGGAGAATGAGGCTGAAGAGTACATAAGAAAAGATTAAGATACTTCAAGATGACTTAAATAAGTGCATGGCCGCTTCTATTCTAGAACAAAGAATTGTATGTTTGAACATCAGAAAAACAACATGTTCTTTCATGTGCTATTCGATAAGAAAAGAAAGTTAAAGAGAGGATCTAGTTTTCCTGATACTGATTTTGCAGGGAAGGCTAAGAGTATAAGTCCCATAAGTTTCCTATTTATCAAATGCCTAAAAGATGTAGGGTAGCTTAACACTTTCCTTACAGTTCCTACCAATGAAATGGATTAAAATCAGTGAGATATTTTGCAAATACTTTGGCAATAACGGAAGCAAACCTAAATTGTTGAGAAGAAAATATGGAAGCAAACCTAATATATGCAATTCACAAGAAATAACTATAAAGAAATGTAGAAGGTACTTAGTTTTTATGAATGTTACATGACAGAATGAGAAATGACAAAGCAAGCATTTCAACTGAATCTTAAGTAAACTAAGGTTGAAAAATGGAGACTGCATTTTAAGACAGAACCTAACTTGTCTCAATTGTTTTTCAGGCTCTAACAATATCGCTGCAAATAAAGTTGCCAAATTTTTTTGTCTCAGAATATTTAAGAAATATCCTCAGTATGAATCTCTTGTGTATATCACAGAATAACAACAAATGAAATGAAAAAGCTGGAGAAAGATAAATTAATGCTTAAAGAGACATTGTTAACATGAGTACTCACGTATAGTTGATTATAATGCTTTGCTGGTCACAGGAATCAAGTTGGCAACTAATAGTGAAACCAGAGAACTGGAAGTGCAGGAAGTCCAAAAATATACAATTTTTTCCTAATCATAAAATGAAATTTGAGACACTGGTAACGCTTACAGAAAACACAAGTGGTTTACCTGGCGTGCTCATCACTGTAGATAGGTTCATAACGCACAGGTAGTCTTGCCCTGTGACAAGAAAACACGAAAGATGCTCCTTAGCCAAAGAACTGGTCTTCTTCCACTCAACCAAGAAGCTAAAGGGAATAAGCAAGAGATGTAAGACAGGAGGCATAGTTCAATATGCAGCAAACAGCTGTGCGGGAGGACAAGTTGAATCAGCAACTTGTCTCACTTACCTAAAGATAGTCATATCTTGTTTTATCAGCTGGAATAACACCATTCTTTCCACCAGCTTCAGTAACCATATTGCATAACGTCATTCTCTCTTCCATCTTTAGAAAAGAGGTATTAATAAGTCAAAACATTGGAACTCGGTTACATCCACTGAAAAGTCAATGAACCTGTTGTTAAACGTTCAACAGCAGTACCGACAAACTCCATTGTTTTGTATGTTGCACCAGCTACCGAAATTTCACCAATAACCTGGGGATGTCCAAATTACAATGATTTCTATTGAAATCTGAAAACTTTATGGGACTACCAAAGATGTCAAATTTAACAAGAAATGATACATGATTCATCATTTATTTCACATGTATGCTCTATATAAAAAGTGCGATATGTTTCTTCCTGCTTTGTGTCTACTCTTTTTCCATAATACTAGGATAACCCGTCATTATAAGTTTGTTTCCGCCGAAAAAAGGCTGATATAGACTATCTAATAGGAGAGAAATTAGCATAAGTAGTTTAATTAATCCTTTACAAAAACAAAGTCTGATTCGCTTCACTTGAAATCCTAGACTACCTTCGAGATGAAGTAAGTCAGTAATCACATACAAATTAGTATAAATAATCTAATTAGTCTTATACATAAGTAAAACCTCACAATCTTCATTTAACGTGGAGATTTAGACTAACTAGGTGAACCAATTATTATAGACCATAGAATGAAGCAGCTGCTTAACTTGAAGAAGCTTGCATCACCAGTAACTCATTAGAACTTGAAGCAGTTCAAATAGACCATCAACGGCAGCTCATACTTTTTTATAACACAAACTTTTTACAATAGTATGTGATATTTAACAGTATAAACATAAAAGAAATTATAATTATTTGTGTACAAAAGATTCTAGGCAGATATAAACATAGTACTTATATCCGGAGTGATATAACATGCGCAGCATGTATGTGACAGTTCATGTTTATGAGCCCGGAGTCGAATCCCACGGGGAATTAACCTACTAATCACAACTACTAGTCTCGCAAGAATTCACGCAATTAACTTTCAGAAGTGTCAAGTAATGAGTTGAGTGTTTACTAACTAAAAGCAAAGTAATTGAAATGCTGTAATTTTATTACTAATAAAGGAAAAGTTGTAGATAAGATTGGAAAAGTCTAGGGGTTATGATTTCCTCAATCATCGAAATACTCCCCGCTACGTCTCCTATAAATTCACCTAAGTATTCTCTACCATTCGTGAGCACTTCAGGTGTCGTAATTCTCTTCTGAGCAACTATCACAATTTACTAGACGTATTTTCACGAACTACGCTAGCTAGCGAGAATTTACCGCTCACTAAGATCGCACCAAGGTTTCGTTATTCCTAAACCCGCCGTATTGATTCCTCACATACGTTAGGAGTGATGTTGTTCAACAACTACCTAAATATGTACTTTTTTCCAAGTAATACACACTAAATAGGCACACTCAATTGAGGGTCCTTCAATCAACAATAATAATAACGTAGTTGAACAGGTAGAGAAAATCCAATGGCAAATTTATATTAAACACAATGAAATATCATCCACCAAGAGGTTCCATCAAACCCTAGATAAAAGAGTTTAGCTACTCATAATTGGTTGCATAACTACAATACTATAATTAATCACCGATAATCGAAAAAGAAAGAAGAAAGATAAAAACTCGTCTCCGAATCTTCTGCCTTGCTTCTTGCTTGTTCTTTCCTTCAAAAATGTCGTGTAACCCTTAAAAAGTTGTTCTTTGATATATTTATATCACTTAGGGTCTGTAAGGGGCGGAACTAATCAATCCAAACTCGGGTGGGAAAAACTGGAATCCGCGTTTACGCTCGCGCGTCGTTTGCCCATAGACGCAGACTCAGTTTTTGAAATTCTTCCATTTCGCAAAGTGATTCGTGCCTTTACTTCACTTCACTATTTTGTGAATGCACTTGTCTCCTTTTCCGCGTCTGTTTTCTTACCATGCGCGAGAATAGACGAGCTCCCAATTCTTCCATCTTTTTCTTTCTACAACAAATCGACATCTTTTGATCACTTATCACAAACTTACTCCTACATACAAAAAACACGTATTGAGCATATTTCACTTTAAAAACCATGTAATCTCCAGCAACTCACACGACAAATGAGATGAAAACATACTTAAAAATATGCACTTTTAGTCATTTATCACTATCCCACTTAGACTTTTGCTCGTCCTCGAGCAACTTAAAATTAAGCACATTTGCAAGAAATAAATTTTCAAATCTACTCAAACATCACACCAATGCCAAAGGTTTATATCAACACTTAGAACCTAGCATACGCACTATTCATACTTTTCTTCAAGTTTTACGTCATGCCAAGACTAATTAAAATAGTTGTGTGACTCTTTCTAACATCCTAACCTCAAAATTTAACTCCAATATATTCCATACTAAGACTCGTTTCTTGTGCCAACTCAAAGACCAAGGACTTTACCAATCCTTTGCAAATCACATTCCCTCACCAACAAACCAAAGAGAGAAAGTAGTCCACACACTCAAATATAAGTTCAAGTGTATTTTAAGGACTCTCAAATCAAAAGAATTCGCTCACTATCGCAAAAGTAACTCATATGCCACCCACGTTCGTACCATAGTCTTGCCCGAAGTATAGTACTGGACTAATTTAAGTTCGCATATTCTCAGATCAGGTAGGACTTTAAAGGTTATAATGTAGGCTAAGGGATAGGTGAGATATATTTGGAAAAAATAGTGACTAACCCACCTAAGCACTTTAATACACTACACTTCACTTTTAAAGACCTTCTTATCATGACCAAGTAAACGTCTTGCAACGAACCAATACATGATAGGCCCTTCTTCTTTAAGCATATTAGCACATAAATGCTCACTAGCCTGGATCAAGACACGAGAGGTGTACTTCACTTTTTTCTTTTATGTTTTCTTCTTCTTTTTCTAGTTTTTGTCTCTTTTTTTTTCCATGTTTAATAGTCACTTAAACTCTTTTTTTCCCTCTCTCTTGCGCGATAGTCCCCAGCCCCCACACGTTCTCTTTCTATGTCTCTATCGTTTGCTACCCTCCTACCTTCACCCCATACTGGTAATACAACTATCTCTAAAATACCAACTCGAAGCCATGGAGTAGGTGGTAGTGGTAAGCCACCTCCAAAGAAACCACCAACCGACAAGAATATAGTGGATAAGGGTGCTAAGGAGGCACGAACAAAAGAGAGGCATGACAATAAGTAGAGTGGAACTTATGTGGTGGACACAGAGGCCACCAATCTGAGCACTAAGCAGCCCTCACTGACACAACAAAGGGCACATCAATTATGGCCAAGAGAGGTTCCAACCCAAATTTGAGAGGGAGCTTCGAATCCACCACTAGCAAAGAAGCGAAAGGTAAAATGGAAGGGCAAGGAAAAAATGATTATCGAGTCAGAGTCTGACTCTCTGATGAAGAGAAGACAGTTATCCCGAAGGTGAACGGGAATCGAGTGCTCCAGTTGATAAGTCCATTTGGGAGAAGAGCACTGTGAGTAAAAGAGCGTGGACGAAATGAGCAAGTATCAAGACTAAACAGATCAATCCACTATTGTTTGAGGGACTACTGAACTTTGGGGCCACCAAGTCAAGTTGCTCGAATAATTTGCGAGCAATAGAGAAGAATGGGTGGACACATTTTTCTCAAGGGCGAGGCAAATTTGACTCTTGTGCGTGAGTTGTATGCGAATTGGGAAACTAACTGTGGCAATGATATTGTTTAGGTTTGTGGGACTGAGGTTGACATCTCCTCCACGACAATAAATAGGTACTACCGCAAACCCTTGCAATCCGAATCAGAGTATTGAAGGAGAGATCAGAGGCCAGACTTAGACCACATAAGTGTAATCTTGTGTTGGGGATTAGGATTAGCTAAGCGGAGGAAAAATTATGGGTTGGTAAAGACGTACATGACTAGAGAGGCTCGATCATGGTTGAATTAGGTCTGCACCATATTGATGCCAGCAACACACAAGTCTATTGTGATTTGGGAGCGGGTATTCTTGGTATATGCCCTGATGACTGGTATTGTGGTGAACATTGGAGCTATCTTATGAAATCAAATGGCAAGGACCAAGAAAAACATGCGGTGGATGCTCTACCTTGTGCCTAAATTGACTACTTTACTTGGAAAATACAAGTTGACTGAGGAGGACGATGAGATATGTAGAGGCAAAGAGTTGGCATTCTATGATATTTGCTCTGTTCAGGACCCATCGGCACTGACTATACAAAAAAAGGGACATTGTAAGCGCATCACTGATTCGGAGGGAGCACTTCAGCAGTTGCGAGTAGATTAGAGGCACGAGACCGTGCTTTGTTAGCCGCATAAGAGACTAGAGATCAGTGAATGCGAGAGCAGTTCGCTGTGATGCTCGAGGCAGTTCATGTATTGCGACAGGTAAAGCACATTGGAGTCTAGACAGACTTCAAGGAGCCGGGAGATGTAGAGTTATCCGTTTTGAGTGCTACCGATAGCACTGCTACTGAGGAGCCGACTGTGGCTCAAGAGGAGGTTGTTGTGGATGCTGCTCCGACTAGAGAGGGTGAGATAATAGCAGTCGTCGACACATTTGGTGTCACATTGGAGGATCCTTCAGCATTGAGGACCCAGGTTCGCGATCGATCCTCCCCGCAACCTAAGATATAGTGAGGGAGCTTCTGATATCCACTCTACAATTGATAATTTATTATATGTTTTTGTGATATTGTGGAACCGGGAAGAGTGCACTCTCTTAAGTGTACAAGCAAGGAGAAAGACGGAAGATTCGTAAACGAGTTTTTATCTTACTTTTTCCTTTTTATACTATTGGTGATGAATTCTAATATTATTGTAACGACCCGACTTGTCGTTTTGAGAATTAGCATCTCGTTCAATGGATTAAGATCTCGAACAACTTTGTAATACGTATTATGACTTGCGTGTGTGGTCGAGTTTAGTTTTCGGACGATTCATGATAACAATTGGAAGAACAGTTCTTATTTAAGAAGCTTAAAAGAAAAGAGTTGATTGAAGAGTTTGAATTTTATGCAAACGACTCTGGAATGGAGTATTTATAGTTCAAATAGTTTCGTATGGTGATTTTTGACTTAGGAGTGTGTCCGGATATTCATTTGGAAGTCCGTAGTTAATTTTGGCTTGAAATGGCGAAAGTTGGAAATTGAAGGTTTGGAAGTTTGACTGTGAGTTGACTCTATTGATATCAGGGTCGGAATCCAGTTATAGAAATATTTATAGGTATGTTATATCATTTATGACTTGTGTACAAAATTCGAGGTCAATCGGACTTGATTTGATAGATTTCAGCATCGAATGTAAAATTTGGATATTTCTAGAATGTTTCAATATCATTTCTTCAAGAATAAGTGGTATCACATTAAGAAAATAAGCTCCAAATTCAGTTTTGATTGAAGAATTAGATCTGTATTGAAATTACGGAGCCATAGCAAAAAAAAAACCGTCGAATTCAGACATCGTATGAGAAAGTTATGCCCATTTTCGAGTGAGATAGAAAAGATTTCCCATCGCCAGTGCCCAGGGTAGTGTGGGACGCTAGCCCTGGCGCTGGGTATTTTTGAGGTTCTGAAAATTGGGCCACAAGTAGCGCCCCACGCTACCTGTGGCGCTCAAAATGTTATATACTCATTTCGGGGTTCATTTTTTCCCATTCCTCTTGGCCGAATTTTGGGGGTTTCCTCCACTCTCTCAAGACCTCCAACTCCCCCCATCTCCAAGGTGAGTAATCCCTACAAATTTGGTGTTTCATTCTATCATTTCCACTCTAAAACTAACTCAATCCACCATGAAATTCTTATATCTTCAAGAAATTTCTTCAAGAACTCCAAAGAGGGTTTTGGTAAGATTTCTTCCAAAAGGTAATCCTACACCTTTAGAGATATATGCATGGATTTATTATGAGTATGTGAGCAAGAAATAAGTATTAACACTTATTGGATGGTGCTTGGAAGCCATAAATACTTAAACTAGATTATTGGGTGTTGTAGAGATTTTGTAATGAATTAATTAGCAATAATTGGGTAGATGTGAGTTCATTGATAATTGTAATGGTGATAAAGAATGATGTTTGTAGACAAAGGATGATTTAGTATCTCTTGTTGATGGGAAAGAGGGATTGTTGAATGAAGAAACACCATTACTAAAGGTAGTAAAATGCTATGTACACTAGGTATTTGATAAAATGCCTAAATGACCAAAAATCTGGAAATTTGTTTACTAATATTGGTGCAATTGTGTTGCATTATTTTAGATTGAAATTTGTTTAGTGTGGTGGACCATCGTAAAATTATTAAGGGGCGAATTTCAGATTTGAGCCGTCCGGAGGTCATTTCACGAGAGAAGACCATTTTGGAATATCGGCCTAACTCAGTTAAGGTAAGTGTCTTGTCTAACTTTGTGTGGGGGAAACCACCCCTTAGGATTTGAGATGATTGTGTCATTTGCATTATGTGAAGGTCGTGTGCGCAAGGTGACGAGTGGGTATATGACCTATATTCAGTATTTGACCGGTTTGGACTGTTAGGCTCCCTTCATGTAACTAATTGTAACTATCATTTCATGACTACATATTTTGTGTTAGAATTGTTTGTACGTGATTTACTTGAAATTGTTAGCACAAGTTCCATGTTCGTTGTCAAGATTACCTTATATGCCAATTGTTGATTGTAACCACTTGTTGAATTCATGCTTTACCTGCTACATGCCTTAATTGTCAATTGATGCTCATAAATTGTACATTGGCTTATGGATTGACATTTCCTTGCTATTTTATTTCGTGAGCTATCGTGTAACCTTTTTCATTAGTTGTGACTTCTTTGCGTAGCCTCGTTATTTCTTTTGATTTTGTGGTACACCGTAGTTGGTTGTAAATTAATTGTTTAATTTATGTTGCTTGAGGAGCGGGCTGCACGTCACAACATGTGTTTAATATTTAATTTGAGGAGTGGATTGCACGTCGCAACGGATTGGTTGAATGTTA